CCCCTGAGCACTACTGGGAATAACAAGGAATAATGGCCATAAGTTGACTGAGAGTAGATTTAGGCTAGATATCAGAAGGTGTTACTTCACGGTCAGGGCGGCTAGGATCTGGAACCAACTTCCAAGCAAAGTGGTTCTGGCTTCTACCCTGGGGGTCTTTAAGAGGAGGCTAGACGAACACCTTGCTGGGGTCATTTGACCCCTGTACTTTTTCCTGCCCACTGCAGGGGGTCGGACTTGATGATCTGCTCAGGTCTCTTCCAACCCGACCAACTATGAAACTATGAAACTTGTGACATTCCTGACTTCATCTGCTCAGGCCCCCCATGGTCTCTCCCAAAATGAACCCAGTCAGCCCCCAGCACCTGCCATGGGGCACATCTGTGGGACACAGGGTGTGTGGAAGACAATGCTGCAGGATGTGACCTGGGCACAGGCTGCTGTGGTTTGTTTCAGGCTCTGAGAAGCAGGTCAGGCATCTGGCAGCAGTTTAAAAGGACACAGACATCATGAAATCAACTCAGATTCACAAGATGAGAGAGAAGGCAAGGGTGATGTTCCTAACATTGCACTCCTCCCCCAGCCACAGCCCTTTGCTAACTTGATTTTAAAGTTACATTTTCCTCTTTTAAAGCTGTTCTTTCTCCCCCATTGCCATGTGAGGGACCCAGACAAACAGGGAAACAGCTACCCATCTCCATCAGTGAAACAGCAAGGCTACGTCTGCACCGCAGACTTTTACCACACGGGTGCAAAGAGCAGCAGCACTGCTCACATAGCTGTGAAGTGTGGACTGATCTGAGAGCAGCTCTACACAATGCACTGTAAAGACACAAAGGGAACAAGCTGGAGGTAAGTGCACAAGCAAATGAACGCGTCTCCCTGGCCCTTCTCAACTGCCGCGGTCTTAGATGTTACACGTGAGCGGCAGAGACTCAGACAGCAGTGCAATGTCACAGCTGACAGTTACCATGTAGCAGAAGGTGGTCTCTGAAGACGAGGAGATTGCCCTGCACAAGCCAGCATTTCCAATGTACTTACCGGCCCATAGTCGGAGGTGAAGAGCACAGTCCCGTCCGCACAGGAGCCAACAGTGCATGGCTGCAGCTGGTCCTGCTCTCGCAGCCACACCCGGGTGCCCTGCAAGCAAACACTCCTGTCAGAAACAAGCACAACAGGGTTCAAATCCTGCCCACAGCCCATGGGAACAGCAGCTCCTACACTGGTGCAGGGGCACTCAAAGACCCCTGGCACCCTGCAGGGGAATGTCTGCAGCCCACTCGCCCTACAACAGAGGCCCAGGTATCTTCCCCACACTCCCACTATGGCCAGAGCAGGGAAGCATCACAGGTCTCTGCCACCCCACTGGAGAAGGGAGGCGGTCCCATTCCTCCTCCACTCCTCAGCATCCTGGCACAGCGCAGTGTGGGGGGAGGCAGCTCCCAGTGCAATACCTGCACAAAGGCTGGGCTGCAGCCCAAACGCCCACACTGGACACTCACCACTGTCGGCAAAGTGTGATCAGAGTGACTGGCGAGGGGGAAGCATCAAACGCGCTGCCCTGTTGGGCTAGATGGGGTTCGGCTAATGCTCTCAAGGCAAGCAGTCTCTTATTTGGGAGACTCTAACATCCAGTCTGATTTTCAAAGGTGCTGGACCCCAGAGCTCCCAGGGGCTGTGGGTGAGCAGCTACACAGGAAGCCAGCCCCGTGGCAGGCTCCTAGAGCCAGAAGCTTCCATTGAAGAGGTTGGCTTTAGCCTCTTAGATCCCTTCTCCTCAGCAGGGCTCCTATGTGTCCAGTGGCCCCCTGGACACCTTCCCCATAGCATAGCTTCCCAACACCTGCAGCACCCTGGCACTCCCGCAGAAGCTATGAGGGCTGAGTAGGGGAGGAGTGGCACAACCAGGGAACGGGAATAAGACCCTAAACATCCTGTCGTGTTGACATCCCTGCATGAGCAAACAGAAGTCTGGGGCTTGCTCACAACTGGACCTTGTTGGCCTCTGTCACAATTCTCCAGGCCCGTCCTGCTGCCTGCCACACCCACCCTCTGGCACTGGGGTCACTGCCCTTGAACCACATCCCTTCTTTAACTTGAAACACAAGCACTGAAAAAAATGGCTTAAAATGGAAACGTTCAGACAAACTGAGCTCTGCCAGCCATTCCCAGTCATGTCAGAAAAAAGAAAAGATCCCTGTTTTAAGTTCCTGCAGAGCATGCACTTTGGTACCGTATGGCTTTATGCTGTCATGTGTCACAGCAAGAAGACATCACCACCCAAAGTCAACAGCAATAGCAAAGACCCCAGGGGAAGATGGGAAGACTGCCCGTAGGGTAAAACCATGCCCTGAATTTAGGACAGCAGCTGGCTACACACGCATGCACACCCAGCCCGACACATGTTCTAGAGCAACCGGATGTGGCCTGGGTTGTGGTACAGCAGAGCGCCAAGTCATGGATGATACATTAGAGATCAGTGGTTCTCAAACTTTTTAGACTCAAGGTCCCCCTCGTTAGACTCAAGGTCCTCTTGGAACAGGCCAGCTCTTAGTTCTCACTCATTTTTGACTACAGAAAAATAACAGCAATTCTGTTGCCAAGAACTCACAGCAAGGCAGAATGCTTTCAGCACTACGGATTCCTGTATGAAATCTCTGGCTTCATCTTCTGAATCATGTTTGCACACCTAACAGTGACACCCTGCAGCACCCCTGAAAGGATCTCAAGGCACCCTCAAGTGCTGCAAAACCGTGGTCGAGAATCATTGCCTTAGGCAGAGTGGTGTTTCAGGAAAAACTGGGCACAGGGGAGTTCTGGGGAGGGGCAGCAGAAACCAAAAGCTCAGATGTCATCACGCCGAGCTGCCAGATGGCCCAGGAGAGAAGACATCGAGAGAGAAGCCAAGACAGGCCCACATGGAGGTAGACAGGCTTTTGGAAGAGAGGTAGGTGTGCGAGTTCCCAGAGTTTAAATAGCATTTGAAACAACATGTGTGGGTAAAAGTGCTCAAAGTGGAGAGAGGGAGCAGACAGGGGTACAGCCCCCACCAGGGTACACTAAGAGGTCAACCTGGCTGCGCCTTCATCCCGTCAGCCCGCACCATCCCTGGGCCCCAGGGTACAGAGCCCACATCTGCACAGCCAGAGAAATACAGCTATGGAAAGCCAAAGAAAAGCCCAAGGAAGGCAGACCAAACTGCTGCCAGCCATCAGAAGACACTGCCCCAGGGTGTCCTCCTGCCCCCTCCCCATACACCCACTGCTCTGCTCCCCAGCCCCAGCCCCAGCCCTTTTACCTGGACTGTGAGCAGCACACAGAGGTGTTCTACCCACTGACTTCTGTCTCTTGGATCAGACCTTCTGCCCCCTGGCCCCTCACTCCTCAACAGGGTGTGATGGACTAAACAGAGCAGCAGGAAAGAGACACTAGCACAGCCCTAAAGCCACTCCCCAGGTGCAAGCAGCCCCCTCCCCCCTCCCCTGCTGAGCCTCTAACCAAAGAAGAGATGGAGCAGGCAGAGAACCAGGACCTGCAGAAAGAGCCTCCCCAGGTGACAGCTACATGGAGCCGCCTCCTGCAGCGCTGCTGACAGCTGATGAAGGTAGCAGCCCCCTCTCAGAAACAAATGCCTTGTTGAGTGTTACAGGGCTGCAGGGAGCTTCTCCCTCAATCTCCCCAGTGACATTGCTGCACAGCTCAGGCTCAGGAAGAATCACTGGAACAGACTACAGAGGCCACTGAGTCCAACCACTGTGGGCAAGAGGGCATTACAACAGCTAATCTTCCGACTCCTTGACGCAGGCTGCAAAACAACACACAAAGGCCCTGAACTGCAGAGAAGCTCCCAGCACAGCCCAAGACAATTCAGCCTTAATGTAAGAGGAACAGCACCATCTTCCCCATTAGCTATTCAAAGTTACTTACTAATCAAGTGTCACAGCTTCCCTACCACATAGCAGAGACTGCTATTATCCCTGTTTCACAGATGGGGAAACCACGCAGCAGCTGAGATGACTTTGTGAAGGTCTCACCAAGAGCTGACTTAAGGAAAGGACTTCTCGAGTCTGCCTGTGCTGCCCAGGAGGTGAGATGGTCCCTGGACATACAGCTCAGGACACCTGTCGTTCCCTAGCTGATGGAGTGAATCTCCACCTCTGCAACTGCAGAACTTTCAATACAAAAGCAAAAAAGCACTGGGCTTTCTGGACTGTTGCTCTGGACCTTTCCGTAGCTCCACGAACCTGCCTAGCCCAGTAAGCCATCCTCAGCAGCAACGACAGATGCTACAGGTCCTCATCGGACAGTGTGAGGTACCCCCTCCACGCTGCCATGTTTTGTCATTTCCTTCCTCTAACAGCAGCAGGCACAAGCATTTTCCTTCAGAATCCCATTTCTCAACAACCCCTGTTCCCTCAACACCCTAACAGTCCTTTCAAAGGAACCAACAGACCGCCCAACACAGGAATCGCTTGTGAAAACTCTGCAACCTGGGGTGTGCAGGGGGCTGGGCCAGGCCAGACAGTCACCAACATGCCCCTCTGGCCTTGAGATCTCTGAGCCTGCAGGCTCTGCTTTTCTTGGGCAAAAACCATTTACATGGATCTTCTCTCGGAAACCACCCAAACTTCTCCAACAGATATTTAAAAAACACAACCTAATGGCCTGGTTTTCTCTGAGCCAACAGTGACACCTTCCCTTACTCCATTGATTCATGGACCACCCTTCTTCCCAGTACTACTTCTGCCCCTAACATCTCTCCTGTAAAAGCCCCCCCTATGCCCTCAGCAACATTAGCTCCTCAAGTTTGGACTCATTAGCCTTGCAGAGCTGCAACAGTACTTCCTGATCACATTACACTCCGCTAGGCATGGTATAATTCTATTCCTAATGATTTTCTCGACTATTTTTCCTGGTACTGATGTGAGGCTCATCAGTTCACAATTCCCAGGATTATTCTTACCACAAAAGATGTGTATATTGGCCACCCTCCAGCCCTTCAAATACCGGAGCGGTTTCTAATGCTAAACTACCTGCTTTTATTACTAGCTGAGATACTGCTCTCCTCTCTCCTTCCTCTATGACTTGTACAGTACCACCATCTCAGTGAAAGCACCAAGGCAAGGGGAATGATGATCCCAGCTCACAGGAACCATGGGCTGGGACAGTGGAAGACAGCAGTTTTGGAGGGGATAGAGATACTGATTTTAGGCTTCCAGGGGGCTTAATGAGCAACAAACTGGGTATGTGACTCTGGAAACCATACAAAAAGGTCTTCTCAATAGCCCTTAATATCTTCTGATGCTTGAGAGCAAGTGGATGAGCCCCTGCCATTTGAAGCCATTCATTTTCCTAAGCACATCTTCACAATTTAGCCCAGATTTTAGCAGCAACATCTGCTCACAAAAGGGCTGGCTTTCTGGCCTCTTTGCTAAGAGAAAATAGCCAGAGGCAGCCAGCACCACTGGGCTGCTCGGACCCCAGAAATTCAGGAGACTGTTTTTCGTGGGAAAGAATCGCCGGATGCGTCCTCACCATTGCTTGCTCCTAAGAGTCTCTGAAGAAGCTGACAAGGAGGAAGAGTGTTACACCCACGGCAAGACCTGCAGAGGTGGCTAATGTGCAACGTTAATGGGGCTTCCATCCTAGCCTTTCCTTCATGCCTCCATGAGCTCCTCCATACATGGTATCAGGGGCAAGGCTGCTGCATGGGTTTTCCTTAGGATGACACGCAGCATCGCCGCTCTGTCCTCAGTGGGCAGGTTTGTTCATCGAGGTGGGTGATGACAGAATGCCCCCAGACACGACAGGACATGGGGCTCTGCAGCTCTCCAGAGATCGGTTGTGTGTTACTTCAAAAGATTCAGCCCAGAGGCAGGGGGAAAATAGAGACAGCAGAAACCATCTGGCATCAGGAGAACCTAGTGAGCCTCTGGCTGTGTCCATCCCCATTTCCATAAAGAGCTTTGCAGGACACAGCTCTAGAGACACAGAGCAAACAATCAATTCATCTGGCCCCAGCCAGCCCCACATCCCTTGCCATAGCCCAACACACCAATTCCCTGTTGCAGGAGGGCCACTTTTGCTCCTCCCTCCAAGTGGAAAGTTTCCCAGGAAGTCCCACCAAAACAGAGAGATGGTCACAGCCAAGTGACCACCCCGGCTCACTTCCCCCACTCTGCCCAGTACCAGGGATCTCCTTGTG